CAAAAATGTTGTGGGGTTCCCTCAACTCATATTTGTGGGCGGTGTGGGGAGAGGAGAGGGGGGAAAGCCCTGGTTGAGCTAGAGGAAGCCCCTGCGTTGGCTTCTGCGCTCAGGACTAGTTAGCTGAATCTCACCCGATGTCAGATCCTTTGTAGCAGCCCCAAGAAGCAGGTCTAGGAATCCTGTCTCTGAAGTAGCACTAAGGCAACACTCCAGACACTTCGGTTTAGCTGGTTCACACTCAATCTCTTTTCCCACGGGAGGCTGGGCTAGTCAGAGGATATCTGTGATCGAGGGGAGCATAAGAGAGCAGGTGGTCCTTTAGGAACTTTGGACTTTGTGAATTAATACAAGAACCTTGAAGCTGCCCTGCAGTGAATTGGCAACCAGCGCAGCCTCTCAGCAGCAAGAGTCATGCTGCCAGTAATTCTTATTTACTTCATTTAATCTGCTCCTGTGAGCCACATGAGCTGTAGCTTCTGCATCAGAAACTCTTTTGTTTCAGTAAGTAGACAAATCCAAATACACATAAAGCATATTAACAAAAATGTTGGTGTTTTATAGTTTTTAATATTTTGTTGGGAGCCACCTAAGAGTGGCTGGGCAACCCAGTCAGTGGGCGTCATGTTGTTGTTGTTAATTTACTATTTTTCCCTCTTGGATGTTATCATCACCTTTTTGAAGAATCTAGGTTAGCTGCCTTGAACATTTTATGGAGAAGCAATAAAAATATTTCAAAAATAAATGATACCAATGCCAGAGATCTTACAATTTGATATTGCTGAAAGTGGGCTAGGAAAAGGATCTTCATTTTGAAATTACCAAAGAGATATTTTTTAAAGTTGCAATAAAATCTGCTGTTACACCAGAAAACAATACAATGCAACTGTGAGGGCTTTGGCCTTCAGGTTTGCAACACTAGTTTTATGCAATTCTGTAAAGTTTCATAATTTTGCATTTTTTGCCATTTTGAATAGCCTAAATAATTGATAAGGTTTTGCTCTAGCCTGTTTAAAATCGCTTTTTCTTCTGCATGTCTGAGTGCCTTCCTTTCCCCTTCTATAGAGCATCCATGCCAGAACAGTGTCCCTTCCAGGGACTGGCTTGCTCCCAATCGAGCGCTGCAACGAGAACAAGACGTGGGCCCCGGGTGTGCCATGTCTATGAGGTGGGTGTTGTCCACGGACGACAAGAGTGCAGGGTGGTGGCAGTTCATGCATGGGCAGGATCACTCTTGCTTTTGGAACCATACCTTTGCTTAGCAAGCAAGGAGGGGAAAAGGTGAAATTCTGAATCCTGTGCCCGTGCTGTATTCTGTGTTTCTTCTGTGTTCCTGAAGAATTATGGCATGCACACTATCTCATTAGCTTCCTCGTCATTGCATTTCTACAGCACAAGAAGGAACCATAGTCAGAAGAGAGCCTGAGGCTGAAAACACCCCCAGAAACCCAGTTAGGCCACTAGGGCCACAGGCAGCGAACAGATGCAGCAACAGTGCTTCTAATAACTAAAGCGTAACTCCTGGGGAAAGTCATCATGTCTAAGTGATTCACAAACTTTCTCCCTGACCCACGAACCTTTGAAAATTGTTGAGGATCTTGGCAGACCACTTAATGATTTTTCTGCCTGTTGCTTAGGAACTGCAATGTGCTTTGCACGTGCTGCCTCTCAGCCTTTCCCTCTCTTTCTCATGGCTTCCTTCCCTCCCATGTACTGACTTTCCACTCCTTTCAAATGCCTTGTCAGTCTCTTCTCCCCACTCAGGACCTAGCCCCATCTTGGCCCAGCTGCAGTTTTCTTCCTCCTCTGAAGGCAGCAGAGCCTTCTCTCTTTGCTGCTTCCACACTTTGGGAACCCTGCTCTAAAGCTATAGCTGGGAAGGGAAATGGTAAGGGCTGTACACAACTTTTCATGCCGACGGAGATCTTAGAATCACATGAAATCATTATGTGAGCAAAGGCTGCGGAAGAGAAGGGATGCATTAGGGCAGCGTTTCTCAACCTTTGGTCCCCAGATGTTGTTGAACTACAACTCCCATCATCCCTAGCTAGCAAGGCCAGAACTCAGGGATGATGGGAGTTGTAGTTCAACAACATCTGGGGACCCAGGGCTGAGAAACACTGCATTAGGGGCTTTGTCAGGCTGCAGCAGCAGCAGGAGGAAGAGAAGGGAAGCAGGACCACTCCATCAGCTCAGCTGGACCAGCAACTTTTGGCTTCTCCTCTCGCATTCCAGGTGGTCATTGTAAGTGCTCTGTAGATAAGAGCAAGTGCTCAAGTTTACGTTTTTCTTCCTACATGTTATGTAGTCTGAGGGCAGCTAACTGATTGCTGTAGGTCACTCTGGGTGATTTTTTTTCCAGCTGAAGAAGCTACAAGGCTTACCAGAGTGTTCAAAACTCCATCTTGTTTCTGCACATAGTGCTGCTCTGGCCAAGGTGAAGCTGCTGAGCTCTGCTCCAGCTAAGAGAGAAAGAGAGAAAGAAGGCACCTTTCTAAATAAGTTATCAATAGTCACGAGCCCATTGTACAAGCCTTTATATAGTCAGCTGTGACCCAGTGATACAGTTTACATAGTATATACTCTAGATGCTGCACCTCTGCTCACTCCACTCACCGACCCCACTGCCATTCCCCCCACATTAAGCTCCCCCTTCCCCTGCAACAGCTCCTTCTGCCTCAGATGACAGAGGCATAGCCTTAGCACAGCCACCATGGCTAGGATCCAGCGATACCCTCCACCAATTTGTCCAATCCCTCTTTAAAGCCTTGTTGGTGGCCATCACTGAGTTCCATCCTTGAACTAACATTCCGCTTCTTTGCATGTCCACGAGTTCTGCTGAATCGGACTGAGCAGGAGTGCAACAGGAGATGCACAGAATTTATAAGAAAACAGCTGATTCTTTCATTGAGGTTTAGCAGTCTCCTTCTCTGGTAGTCAATCCTCTCTCACTTAAAACAAAAAACCCTCCCCAGCCCATTGTTCAAAAGAAACTCCGCTCCTGGGTCTGTCTGTGTCAAGAAGCAGGCATGCAGTGTCTTATGGAGACACCATGCTTAATGGTTATTTCAATGTATATCATGCTATGGCCACACGGCTAATGCAATAAATCTAAATAAATAAAAAAATAATGGTTTTTTCTTTCCAGCCGACCAATGGAGGCAGGTTACAAAGGCCAAATATATGCCAGGGGGCAAGAGAAGCTATTGGAGAAATGTTGGGGAAGGGGCAAAGCATTAGGGTTCCTGGCACAGAACAGGATGGGGATGAGTTACGAAGAAGGTTCAGAACCTGGAGTGCCATCAGATTGTCAGAGTTTTCAGGAAGGTGTCAAGAAAATACCAAGAAGCTGGAATAATTAAAGTGGATCAAGACGATCTGTCTCTATGGCAACAAATCCACTTAAAACCCCCAGAAACTGGATTTTTGCAGTTTGGGAAGTAATGGGGAAATGCATTGAAAAGTGTAAGATGAACAAATGACTAACAGAATGATGTAGAAACACCCCAAAGGCAAATTAGGATGAATGCTCAATGTCATAGAACCTCTCTACAAACAAATTAAAATGAGTGCCTAATGAAGGATACACATAATCTAACTTCTCTGTAGGCTTCGTGCAACCAAATTAGGATGAATGCTTAATAAATAGGCTTGTCTGGAGGAGAGGCTGGCATTCTGCACTGTGAACGCTGAGTTCCCCCACCCACCTAAAAATGCTCCTACTACTCAGCATTTAACCCTGTGCTGATAGGGAATTGCACTGTCCCTGGTTGCAGAGGCTGAGCTCCAGGCCCCAAACTCACATCCCAGGCCAGTCCTCTGCAGAGTTGCTTCTTTTCCCGCCCACTGACCAACCATTACCTGCAGGCGTGACGGGTTGAGGTGGTGGCTAGCGGTGCAGTTGGCTTGTGCCACGTAGCGTGTCATGTACATCACAGCTCGCCCTTGAGTCCGGAGCGGGCAGCTGATGTCCAAGATCCCCTCGCTGACGGCGCTTGGCCCATCATTCAAAAACTGCAGGACAAATGGGAAGAAAACAAATCGCAGGGACATCGGAAGCTGTGTTACATCACCAAGTCAGATTATGAGCCCATCTGGTTTGGTGTGGTCTGTTATGACTGGAAATGGCTCTCTGGGGGTTGCAAGGACTGAGATGCTTTCCCATCACCTGCAGGCAAAGCAGATGCTCCAGCACTGAGCTACAGGACCCTCCCCCAAAGAGGCGGCAGCAGGGATGGGGGTGGCACAATTATCTAAACATGGTGGACAGGCCCAGTGGTCACAGAGAAAGGAGGATAGATAGATTGGTACTGTTTTAAATAGTGGCAAGCCAGGTGCTCCCAGGAATGAAGCAAACACTCTCTCCTGCAGTTTGCCCTTTAGCACCCATTATCCAACGATACACTGCCTCTAATGCTGGAGGTTCCATTTTGCTATCAGTGCTGCCAACAGATTTCTCCCTTGTGAAACCTTGAAAGTTAATGAGATAGTGTGCATGCCATAATTCTTCAGGAACACAGAAGAAACACAGAATACAGCACGGGGCACAGGATTCAGAATTTCACCTTTTTCCCTCCTTGCTTGCTAAGCAAAGGTATGGTTCCAAAAGCAAGAGTGATCCTGCCCATGCATGAACTGCCACCACCCTTGCACTCTTGTCGTCCGTGGACAACACCCACCTCATAGACATGGCACACACCGGGGCCCACGTCTTGTTCTCGTTGCAGCGCTCGACCTGGGAGCAAGCCAGTTCCTGGAAGGGACACTGTCTCTGGCATGGATGCTCTATAGAAGGGGAAAGGAAGGCACTCAGACATGCAGAAGAAAAAGCGATTTTAAACAGGCTAGAGCAAAATCCTTATCAATTATTTAGGCTATTCAAAATGGCAAAAAATGCAAAATTATGAAACTTTACAGAATTGCAATAAAACTAGTGTTGCAAACCTGAAGGCCAAAGCCCTCATCAGTTGCATTGTATTGTTTTCTGGTGTAACAGCAGATTTTATTGCAACTTTAAAAAAATCTCTCTTTGGTAATTTCAAAATGAAGATCCTTTTCCTAGCCCACTTTTCCTCAGCAATATCAAATTGTAAGATCTCTGGCATTGGTATCATTTATTTATTGAAATATTTTTATTGCTTCTCCATAAAATGTTCAAGGCAGCTAACCTAGATTCTTCAAAAAGGTGATGATAACATCCAAGAGGGGAAAAATAGTAAATTAACAACAACAACATGACGCCCACCTGACTGGGTTGCCCAGCCACTCTAGGTGGCTCCCAACAAAATATTAAAAACACTATAAAACACCAAACATTTTTGTTAATATGCTTTATGTGTATTTGGATTTGTCTACTTACTGAAACAAAAGAGTTTCTGATGCAGAAGCTACAGCTCATGTGGCTCACAGGAGCAGATTAAATGAAGTAAATAAGAATTACTGGCAGCATGACTCTGTGCTGCTGTGAGGGCTGCGCTGGTTGCCAATTCACTGCAGGGCAGCTTCAAGGTTCTTGTATTAATTCACAAAGTCCAAAGTTCCTAAAGGACCACCTGCTCTCTTATGCTCCCCCTCGATCACAGATATCCTCTGACTAGCCCAGCCTCCCGTGGGGAAAAGAGATTGAGTGTGAACCAGCTAAACCGAAGTGTCTGGAGTGTTGCCTTAGTGCTACTTCAGAGACAGGATTCCTAGACCTGCTTCTTGGGGCTGCTACAAAGGATCTGATCATCGGGTGAGATTCAGCTAACTAGTCCTGAGCGCAGAAGCCAACGCAGGGGCTTCCTCTAGCTCAATCAGGGCTTTCCCCCCTCTCCTCTCCCCACACCGCCCACAAATATGGGGTTGAGGGAACCCCCACAACATTTTTAGGGGGAGCAAAGAGGGAGGCAGAGGGGAAAGTCTCAATGAACGAGCAGAACTCACTTCATGAGTGTATATCCCCCCAAAGAGAGACAGGGCTTCACCAGGGAAGACCTATAATTTACCCTTTGGGGACTGAAGAGGAGATGTGGGGGCCTCACACCTTCTTATTAAAACAATTAATGACCATGCCAAACACTTTGCTTCTGGCATTACACTCACCCCAGGGTTTTGAGATGAACGGCAGCCTCGACACGCAAGGGGAACGAAGCCACCTCACTGTGGGAGTTGTTTGCGTTCTTGCTGTAGTGAAAGAGACATAATTATATGTGACTGTATGTAAGACTAGCACTGCACAGAAGAAGAATACACAAGCAGCAGCTAGGAAAGGGGTTGTGGACCTTTATTCAGCCCCAAGGGCCGCATTCACTTCTGGGGGCCACATGCCAGAGGCAGGTGGGTCCAGAGACAAAAGCGGGCAGAGCAATGGGTGAAAATTGTACCTCTGTAGTTTTTACACAGACGCATGCACACCCCTCTGTCATCAACCCAGGGAAGGAAGAGGCATGACCAGAGTGCGAGGACACATTCCACTTGGGCAAAAAGCCCCCGTCCCCCAGAAAGGATTAAAGAGGAGCAGGGGGAAGAGAGGGGGGAATTCCTTTGCACAAGAGGACCGTGTTCTGCACTTAGTTGAATCCTGCCCTGGGGAATCCTGCGGTTCCTCTGTCACAGGGATGGGGAACCTGCAGCCCTCCAGGTGTCATTTGGCTTCCAGCTCCCATCATCACCAGCCATCATGGCCAACGGACAGGGTTGATGGGAGTCCAGCAACAGGCTGCCAATCCCTGCTCTGTCAGCAACGGAAGACAAGCCTCCCCAAAAATCAGTTCACCCATTTATCCTGGTCCTTCCTTGCAATGCGCCGTCCTGGGGCAGGTAACAGGGGCAGCTATGGGGAGAATTTGGGGGAATTCTCTGGCTCATTTTTACCTGTGAATCTGAAAGTCAAATTGGATGGATTTCTTCGCATCAAGGTGAGGCACAGTAAAGCGTAGGCCACCCCAGAGCTAGGCGAGATACGGAAAAGAGAAGAGTCAGTATCTGTGTCCCTCCCCCCACTCTCCACTGTCATGGCTTGTGTCACCTGAGGCAGCGGCCTCACTCTGCCTTATGGTAGAGCTAACCTTCCTATTCTGGGTGAGTTTAGCTAGCCCTACCCTAATTGGTTAATCCTCACACACGGGTAGGATGAATAACCCCCCCAACAGATTGCTCCCACTTGAAGGAAAAGGCACTGTGCCCCATATATATGCTCCCCCCATTATTATGAGTGTCATCGCTCTCCCTGCTTGCAGCTTCCCAAAGGACACAGAAGCTCTCGTACTTTGTCACTGAGTCCCCTATCACAAAGAGATTAAAGTGGCTCTGATCACAGCTTGCCAGCTTTGCCTTGCTCCAATGAGCGGCCCCTTCGCGCCATAACCATAGATCCCTTCACCACAGTTGACTGAAGTGGCTCGAAGAGTCCTCTAGCCACCTGCCCCTAACAAGACCCCCTTGCCATGGAGTGCAGACACTCACACTGGTGCCTGCCTTCATTGGATTGCCGAGGTCACAGAAAACCATGTTGGTGTCATTCACCGTGTCATAGTGGCAGCTCAGGCTGGAAAGGTTCTAGAAGACAGAAGGAAACAAGTGTGAGAAGAGGAGGGTGGACCTGCCTCTGCCTGAGCTCAGGGGTTGGTGCACTGCCTCACCCTCACGACAGATGCTTAAAGTATTTGGGTCGCATCAAATGTAGCAATTTCTCATGTGGCTATTGCAGTAAAGTGTGTTTTTCCCCCAGAGCATGGCGTTGATGCGCCTCCTTGCCAAGGGCACAAGGGACCACACTAGCTGGGATCGCGGGGAGCTGTACTCTAAAACATCTGGAGGACATCCGGTGGGCAGAGACTGGGATGGTGGGTGGAGTCATCTTCCCAGCCCCACCCACAGGTTGACTCAGAAAGTCTGCTCTCTGAGGAAATCAGGGACATTATTTTATTTTTTTAAAAAGAAATTTGAGAGCATTTTAATATACCAATCTAAGCAATCAAGCATTGCAGCCTCACCATAACCGCATTCTCTGCATCCCTCAAGAGGGGGCCATGATAGTTGCAGCTGCAAAACCTATTATTAATTTCTAGCACAGATATATCCACAGACATTCTACCCCATGAGGACTAGACCTTTTTGCAAAAGCCCTTCCTATGTTATTTCAAAAACCCACAAAGGATAAACTTGCTGCCTCTTCTTCTTCTTCTTCTTCTTCTTCTTCTTCTTCTTCTTCTTCTTCTTCTTCTTCTTCTTCTTCTTCTTCTTCTTCCCCCCTTCAAAAATGATCATACTCAGGAACCCACCATCATATATCTGCTTTCCCAAAAATTGAGAATTGTGCTTTTATCTCAGTTCCAAGCTTTGGGAAAGGACAGCCTCTTCATTAAGTTCACTCCCCCCTGGCCAGGAGGGGTTGCAAAGCAATTTGCCTGCAGAAGGATGAGGTCCCCCCAGCGGAGGCACGTACCCCATGATTCCGCAGAACCCCCATGTAGTCTGCTTCTGGTGGGATGGTAACGTGGAGCTCAGCCTCATAAGCACCACCCTCACCGCGGTTCTGGGCGTGGAAGGTGAGGTTCAGCGCATTCTTGTCTCCCAGGTAGACAACAGTTTGGTCCCTGCAACAGACCCAGCAAAGAAGGAGAAGGAGAAGGAGAGCACACACGTATCAGCGAAGATCCAGGATGCCCATTTTTAGGAGGTACAATATAGAGAGCAGACATTTCAGACCATGCAAAAAACAATGGCAAAAACTGTGTTCAGTTTCTCCACCACCCTTCATTTTGGACTGACATGTGGAACAAAGAGAGTCCCAGAAGTGCCTCAGGTAGATTCATAGAACTGCAGAGTTGGAAGGGACCACGAGGGCCATCTAGTCCAACCCCCTGCAATGCAGGAATCTTCCACCCAACATGGGGACTGAACCCACAACCCTGAGATTAAGAGTTGCATGCTCTACTGACTGAGCTATTCAGCTATGCCCCCCCCCCTCTGGTCAGCTCGCATTATACACAGGATTATAAATGAAAATGGGCCTGTATGTTCAGTGTGCATGCCAGGCACAGATCTCTCTGCGTAAAAAGGAGTACCTATTTTGTCCTTAATACTGGTGCCATATATATATATTTCCCATAACAAAGGCCTCCAAGAGCATTCCTTGAATGCACCCAATACTGAGTGTTTAGCATTTGCTTAACTGAGATCTCAGGTCTCTGCACCCTGGAATGGAAACCTTGTGAAGGTAGGAGAAGGGCACTGAATGTGTTCAGCAGGATCCCTAGGAAGGTAGGAAGCGACCTTCTACAAAGTCAGGTGACTGGCCCAGGTCAGCAATGTCTATACTGATTGGAAGCAGCTCTTCTGGGAGTTTCTCCCAGCCTTGCCTGGAGACACCGGGGGCTGGACCTTCTGGATGCAGAAGAACATAAGAGTCCTGCCGGATCAGCCCAATGACTTCTCTAATTCAGCATCCTGTTCTCACAGTGACCAACCAGATGCCTGTGGGAAGCCTGCAAGGAGGACGCAGGTGCAACTGCACCCCCCCCCCCGGAAATCCCAGCAACTGGGATTCTGAGGCATAATGCAGTAGATGTTCTTCCATGGAGCTACAGCCCACCCCATTGACTGCAGACAGATTCAGATAGGAAGGGGTTGTTGGTGCTGGATGAACACATGCCCTCCCCTTAATTCTTTTGCAATTGCCTTTTGCAAT